TGCAACAACCTTATCTCCCCCAATATTGTACATTCGGCCATAAAATGCAGTTGTTTCCACCGATTGAGAATTGCAGAGGGCACATAACCCCTCCTTGCCCTTCAACCAAAGTGCAGAGTTCAAGTTAAGGGCCTCGCAGCGGGGTTTTAGTAGCCATCTTAAGTTTGAAAGACTAAGGGAATTAAGGTTCTCTCTCTGTAGATTAAATAAGGTGTGGGGGTGAGACAAGTGTTTGAATAAGGAAAAGTTAAGCGAGGACTGAGCTCGGAGTAAGCAATCATCCCGATGCCGTTTCTTGAATCTGATAGCAGATCTAAAAAAAAAGCTGGCCAATCAGCAAGGTTTTCCTAGGTGGGACAGGTTACTTCAAATCTCTGAAAGAGCGTAAGCCAGTGGGCATACCAGGCGGTCTTACTCCTGATGACTTCGATCGCAGTTATTTTTGCCAATTTTATGTTCTACGTTTCTAAATATATATTATTATAATATAAAATAATATAATATATATTCTAAATATAAATATAATATTATAATCCATTATATTTTTTGGTCCGATAGACCACATAACTTCTTTCAATTAACTAATCTTTATGTAAGGTATTGGTTGAAATGAAAAAAGTTACCTAGTCCCTAGTTAGTAATTACCTACAAATGGGAAAAAGGAGGGGAAATTCGAAAGGAGGGGTTGAGATGGGAAGTTGGTATCCGAGTGGATCGAAGTCACGATAGGTCAAGTGGTTAGGGCAGGGGCGAATTGAGCCGAAGGTCGTGGGTTCGAATCCCGCTTGTGACACTAGCTTTTGCATTTCAACCAATACCTTACATATTATTATAATATTACTCCGTTATTTTTTTGCCCCCTTTAAGTGTTTTAGGGGAACGGGTAAATTTACAATACTTTATGGAAAATTCTACATCCCCCGACTGCCCGGGGCAATATGCGCTCATGCACCCCTGAGAGCACACGAAATAGAAAGATTACAGCGCAGGACAAAATAAAAGACCAAAATATCAAAACAGATACAGCGATAGATAGAGTAAGAGAGAGGAAGGTAGAGTTTTAGAGAGAAAGAGTGTGTGAGGGAGATAGAGATAAAAGACGGAGTGAGAGAAATGTATGTACCGTATCCAAAATGAATACAAAGTAGTATTAGTTGGCTTCTTACGTTTTCATGCACTATTGCTCGATAACGTTAGAAGATATTTTGCAGGGAGGAAAAAATCCGGCGAAGCTTCGGCAAAACATCCACCCTGGTTCTCGTCATCATCCAACACGAAAACGATCACGGGGGCGAATTACCATTCACTCAAGGTGGACTTCATTGCTTTAATTTTCTTAAAATTAAACTAAGGACAAATTTGACGGGGCGTGTGCACAAAATCGGCACCAATTAGGATATAAAGTTATTAATCGATTCCAATTAGTGCCTGTCCCAAACAAGGGCATTCGCTAATGGGTCTTTATCCTCACAAAAAAACCAATCCGACCAAACAAGAAAAGCCTCCTAATACTAATGGGAAGATTTTATAAACATCGCTTAAAAAATTAATCACGAATAGGAAATTAGGTCAAAGAAAAAATACAGAACGTCATTGAGCAGTAGAGAAAATCACTAAGGGGGAATAAAAATTTAACTGGCCAATTTAGATTCTTTCTTAGTACGGGTGCTCGATGTATTCCGTGATTCGCTCAAGGAAGCGAAGATAGGCGGATCACAGGATAATGTTTGAAAATGTTTTATTGAACCTGCTGTCAGGGATTATCGCAAATCTATGGCGTACCTTTTACCCAAAGCCATTAGAAGGTTGGTTGACACTGTAATGTCCTCACATTGGAAATCTTTCACGATCTTCCTAACTTTCTTGTAGAAACCTTAAAGCCAATTCGATCTAGAAAAGATTCATGAAATTAATGTCAAACGCCTTGGTCATTTGGTACTTCATATTTACTTTTATTGTTTTCAAGCATTCCTTCACCCACATAACGCCTTATTAGCTTTTATGCTCGACAGAGAACCGATCAGAATTCTTGACCACTTCAGAAGGTTGATGATCAGCAAGGAATTTATTTGTTAGAGGATTAACCTATTAGCTTTATAGATCAGGCTAATCCTCGACATTAATGTTTCGGCGAACACAATTGGTGCTGATATAGGGTATCAAAAGTTTTTGTAATATCTAGGAACAAACCAGCAACCTTCGTACCATTTTCAATTAATTAATCTTTTTACGTAAGGTTTTGGTTGAAATGAAAAAGCTAGTGTCACGAGCGGGATTCGAACCCACGGCCTTCGGCTCAATACGCCGCTGCTCTAACCACTTGAGCTATCGTGACTTCGACCCACTCGGACGCCAACTCCCCCATCTCAACCTACAACCTTTCGACTTTCCTTCCTTTTTGCCATTTTTCATATAATGGATTTCGTACCATTGTTCAAACCATTATAGACCATGGTCAATAAATTGACGTTTATTTCAAGTTCGACAAGTTAAAATATTATTTCCTGAAAAAAATCGTTATCACCTTTTTGTATTAGTTTTTTAAATTTTTTTATAAAATATAGAAAGTAATGATACCGGTCTGTAATTTTTAATGTCGGGTAGGTTCCTCTTTTTATGAACCGGTATAACAACCGCATATTTGATATCTTGCTGATAACCGTGGTAATCCTCTTGAAATAAACCGTATCTTTTTTTAGGTCTCCCATTTTCCAAAACATGTTAGTGTGGTGTTTTGCCTTTCTTGAAAAATTACTTTTTCTGAAGTAGTCAGGTTGTGGAAAAGAGCCTCATTTGAAAAACCAAAATTGCCAGGACTCAGTACTCTTTCAATATTTTCAGCCAAGAAAACCTAAAAAATGTCGTTAGTTGGAACTCAGCTTCTTGTACAAATAACATGTTTGATTTTTCAAAGGTGATGTCTTTACACCCCGAATATCCATTTGTTCTTACTAACAAACCAACCATTTACAAGACACACCTGAGACCGATATGGACGGAATTGCGTGTTGGGTATCAACGAAAAAACCAAATCAAAAATGTTATGAAAAATTTTTAACTGTCCCATACGTTTCAAACCTAACAATCCACAATGGCCTCCAAATACCATAAATTCCCGATACAAAAACTTCAAAAAAATTCAAACCTTCACCCTAATCCACTTGTCCAACAGCTTTCTTGTCCCAGCATTCCTGGCAATCCCACACGTCGTTTAAAGCAGCCGAGGGATCTCTACAGAGATTGACTGACTCAATACGTGGGAGTGTCACCGATGGGCGACTTCTTCTCAAGTGTAACATGCTAGACTCACTATCTCTATTGTCTCATTTGCTCATAGCGACTAAAAATCGCAATCGTAAAAATCATAATAAATAATGATTGTTTGGAGATCGTGCAATGCGGCCTGGTGTGACGTAGGTTTTAGAAAAATATTTTCTTTATCGTGCCAACGTTTCGATCTTCATTGAGATCATCTTCAGATCATGGGATTTATAAACATCGTTTAAATTTTACAAATACATGTACGATGTAACAAAAAATGAATTTATACAATGCTAGAAATTTTAGATTTAATCGAAATATTGTACTCACTCAAAGTGTTTGTTTTCTGTGTAGATGTGCCATTCTTGTGTCATGTTGAGAGTGCCAGTGAGATATTGTGACATATCTTCTTTATTAACAAAGAACACAGACTTCTTTATTAAAAAGTCTCAAAAATTTCCATGTTCTAAAAAACACCTTTATAATAAATACATTTAAAAAAAAATCCTTTCAAATGAATCATTCATGCTTCTTTTTTTCTAGCACAAATTTGAGGGTTATATTAGTGCATGTAATTCTGCATATTTGAGGTTTTATTAGTGTATTAAATGGAATATTGCATGTAAATCCATGCTCTACTCATGATCTGGCAAAGATTTCCATCTTTGTAGATGGTTCATATAAATTACTGTTATACAAAAGCCGAGAGCTCGTAATTTGGCAGAGAATAATTTTTTTTCGTCGGCTCACCCAAATTTTTCACAAATGGGGATAAAACGTCAGATTCAAATGGGTGTGTTGGTGAAACGGATAACTTGGTTAGGATCAACCCCTCACACATGGCTCCTAAACGGGTCACGACCAATCAGTTTGATTGGGCAACGGACAAAACAGAATAATCCGTCAATTTAACAGACATACCGGAAACCTCAATAACACCAATCCCTGACAACGAACTCTTAAAAATTACGGGAAAATGTAATTAAAATGCTTTTAATCACTCTACTGATGAAATATTGAGCGAAAATAATACAGTACTTATTTCAATTAATTATTCTTTTTATGTAACGTCTTGGTCGAGACGAAAAAGTTAGTACCACGAGTGGGATTCGAACCCACGACCTTCAGCTCAATACGCCGCTCCTCTATCCACTTGAGCTAACTGACTTCGATACATTCGGACACCAACTCCCCATCTCAGCCTACAACCTTTCTAATTTTCCTTCTTGTTGCCATTTCAAATGCCAATCCTCATTACACATCTGAAAAATGGCAAAAAGATGGAAAATTCAAAAGGTTATAGGTTGAGATGGGAGTTGGTGTCCGAGTGGATCGAAGTCACGATATCTCAAGAGGTCAGAGCAGCAGCGTATTGACCGAAGATCGTGAGTTCGAATCCGCTCGTGACACTAACCTTTTCATCTCAAACCAAGATCTTACATAAAAAGAAAAATTAATTGAAATAAGTAATTTGGTAATTGGACCACTAAACATGAATGGATTAATATATAAGTACGTTTTTCTTTTAGTAAGAAGGAACAAGTAGGTTAGTTGAAAAAAAAATTAAATTAACTGTATATTTTGTTTTCGATTGTTTTAAAATTTGTAAATATATAGTTTATTTATCGCATTACAATTACACAAATTGCAAAATGAACAGGAGAAAGAAAGCTGAAAACACAAGACTATAAAAATTAACTATTTTGAAAATAATCATTAATTGGACATAAAAATAACTGCACTAACAAATCTTAAAATAAAAAACAAATTATTCTTTAGAAAATGAAAATCCCACATGTTGTAATTGATTCTTTATTTACACATGAAATTCGTCAGCGACAAATTTTTATCTGAAAAAGTGCTACAAAATAAAATGCTCCGGTGGTAAAAGGGACTGTTTAAAAGTATGTAAAAATAAATACAAAAGTAGGCATATGGTACAAAAAAAATCGATGGTGTAGTTACTTCATACGCATGAGAATAGACGCGTTGAGTATGCCTGCTTCTGCGAGGGTCAGGTTATTGTCGGTGAGCTCTTTGCTCGGATAGGTTGTCAGTAACATGAAGGGAGACTGACGATACTCTGGTCTCGAACTGATTAGATAGTTCCTCAGATCCCCGATCGTATGAGTGTGATTGAGTTCGGCCCGGAGACGAGAACCGTCGTTGAGCCTTACTTGAACGACAGTCGTAGGTTGGGAAGGGTCGACGTCGACCGAAGGCGGAGCGGTCTCAGTGGAAGGCGGTTCCACCGGGCTCGTCTGCGGTGGCTGCGGATTAGGCAGCGTGGTCACGTTCGGGGTCAGACTGCCCAGAATGAACCCTTGGCCTGTGAATGCCCGGGCGGTCGCTTTGGGCCGGTTGAACTCTTCGTGCCGGTGGTCTTCCATATTTAGATGGACGGACTCTTCCGTCGAATCCTCGACCAGTTCCTGAGGGACCTGGCCGGTTCTGATCTTGTCGAGAAACTCTTTGTCCTGCGGGGACGTGTAGGACCTGAGGGGTCCTTCGTTGACGCTGAAGCCGTTTCTCCAGAGTCTTAGAGTGACTTCACGCCTCCGGCGCTCGCGATGCCCGGAGGAGATGACTTCCGTGTCGTCCGGGGTCTGGCCCAGCCGGTACCCTGTGCCTTTGAACATGGGCCTGGCTTTACCCTCGCGGGAAGTACTGGCCGCTTCGACCCCACCGAGGTCCCGCACTGACTTGAACATGTCGCTGATAACGTCTGTGCTGTGCTTACCCGGGCCGACCACCTCCTGACCGCTGTGAACGGATCCGCCCGCGTAGAACCTTTGACCCTCTTCCTCGTCGGAACTGGAGTCCTTCCTGAGACTAGAAAGAGTGCCAAATTTCGGCTTGCCTCTCGGGGCAGAAGGCGCTTCGTTGTCAGAGTCGCCCATTGGCGGCGGCGTGAGGGTTTCGGGCGTGGGCTGTGCGGGGGCGGTCGGCTCTGACGGTGTCCAGCTCTGGTAGTAGGTGATCAGAGCGTCTTCCAGTACCCAAGCTGCGGATTCTAAAAAAAATGTCGCTTCTTCGGATGTTGCGCCAGTAATTTCACAAAATCCAGCTAGCACTGTTTCGTTCTCATTCATCGCTCCTAGAATTAAAAAAACAAAACAACAAAGCTTGTATTTTAAAATTCCTTTCAAGTAGGTTATATATGCTAAATATGTATTTCCACAGGAGTGCAACATTTCCATTCTACTTATAAATGTACCATCACTAACAAATCAAGTAATGTATACGGCAGACCAATTTATCTTATGATGATACTCTTTCTTTTTCTTATTTAAATTTCAAGCAAATATTCTCAAACGAGGAAAATAAGCAAATGTATTTAAAATAAATTTAACTTACATAAATTGTAAATACTGAAAATTGAAAAACTAAATATCTAAAAAATAACTCCTTGCCGTGAGTAAGAATTTGAGCTATGTTGAAACCAACCAATAATCCAACAAAACAAATGTTTTTCAAATTGAAACCATTTTTTTTAAATTAAACTTTTTGTTTTGTTTCAACAGTTAATTATTTTAATCCATGAAGACCATAAAAACTGTTGATAAACATCTGTTCCTAATGAACCATCACTAAAAAATCAAGTATTGTAGATGGCAGACCAATTTATCTTATGATGATACTCGCTCTTTTTCTTATTTAAATTTCGAGCAAAAATTCTCAAACGAGACAAAATCGCAAAATATATTTCAACCTATATTTAACTTAACTAAATTGTACATAAATAAAATTAAAAAACTAATATCTAAAAAAAATACCTCCTCTCCGTGCATTAGAATTTGAGCTATTTTGAAACCAACCAATAATCCAGTGTTTTTTCAAATTGAAACAATTAAAAAATTTTATTTAACGTTAAATAGTTAATAGTTTATTTAAACAGTTAATTATCAAATATTTTTGAAAATATCTGTTTCTACACTGCCCATAAAAAAAGACGGGGTGGTTTAAAGGAAAAAAGGCCAATTTTAACAATGCATATTTTCTCAGCCTCTTAAGTCAGAGAGGTGCGGCGTTAGGTATATCATTTTTTGGAAAATTTTAACCGACGCTGAGCAAGATGGCTTTTTTAAGATGTTTTCCTAGCTTCTGTCATTCATCAGTAAATTCAAAAATTAGAGAACTTCAAATTGTGCTGTGGACCCAGGAATTCGTTTTTGATAGAAATCGATAGAAAATTTTAAACTTTCAATTGGCCACCTCGCACTTTGCCCGATTTCTCACAGTTTTCGACTTATTTGCGATTTTTGGGCGAAAAACGTGGTCTTTTACGGCACATGGAAAAAACCGATTTTACCATACATTAACCTACTGTTTCAATTCGTTTTTCGAAGCGAAACTGCCACCTGAAAGACCTGTGAAATTGGAAGGAAAAGTTGAATTTCTGTGATGAGGTAAACATCAATCGATCGACAATAGCATTTCGCACCCCAAGAGGGCAAATTACGACAAAGTAGAAAAATGGTCGCTTCCCCGTTTAATTTTTTGAAAAAAATCCTCGAAATAAAAGTTGTAAAATGTAAAATTTGCGAAAATATGGCGGTTCAACATTTATGCATTCGTGAAAATCGCGAGAGAGTGATCGGTTTTTTCCATGAGTATTGAAAAACTACGTTTTTTGACCAAAAATCGCGAATAACTCGAAAACTGTTGTGAAATCGGGCAAAGTGAAACATGACCATTTGAAAGTTAAAATTTCCTATCGATTGCTGTAGGCGCCGCTCGAGGTCGATTTCCTGCCACCACAGCTTAATTTGAAGTTTTTGTAAAAAGTACAAAATTTAATATTTTCCCGAATTTTTGAATTTACTGAAGCTAATATGCATTTCCAAAGTTGGCAATTTTTTACTGCAAAAACCAGTTGGTCTTTTTTTTAATGGGCAGTAATTCATCCGGTCATAAATTTTGTTTGTTTTGAAAATGCAACAATTCACAAGAATAAAAATACAAAATAAAAATAAGTTAATAAAATATGTTTATTATTTGCCATTGTTTTTCTATTTTCAATCTTATTTATTTTGTTAAAATAATTATATTATACACAATAGAATTAAAAATATCTTGGATGTTATTTAAAATTTATTGATATCTATACGGTAATGGATAGGCGGTTAGATATAGAAGTCGCGTAGGAAGGTCGAACCAAAAAAGGCACTCCCGGGCGTTACGGTGATACGGAAATGTTCAAAAAAAACCTCTCTTGCGCAAACAAGCGTAACCGTTGGAGAGCTATTGGAATCTAGATTTTATCTCCCGCGGATAGGACTTGTGATAGAAGGTTGACCTTTTAGAGAGAGAAGTCACATACATGTCCTGGCCATTTCTATACCTCCATACATCAATCTGCACCGCTATTGTGTCGGCCGGCGTAAACGCAGCCAGTTTTCCCCCTATGGAAGTCTTCGGTGTTACATATTTATTTGTTCGTTACTCTGCAGTTTGACTATTTATGACCGAATGGCGCCAGCCATCTTATATAGGCTTTGTTTTGGATTAGTGTAATCTTTAATCCAACCGACTATTATTATTATTTTCAAAAGCTAAAAGTTCTTATATGCAGTTGAATATCTTTGCATGTGATCTTTGTGTTTGTTTTATCAACAGGGCCTTTAGAAATATTAAAACAGGTTTCACTGACAAACAGCCCTAAAATCATTAGTTCGTAAAACGGTCACATCCAAAATAGCCAGGGAATGCAACCAAAATCTCCAAAACCAGGGGAAAACACCTGAATTTTGGGTATCATGGCACAAAGGAGTTCTGGGTATGAACAAGCAGCAAACTGCCAGACAATGTACAGAGAAGTGTCGGACATAGAAAAATCATGTTTAAAGAACCTAAACTGGCTACCAAATTGCTACAGATATTACAAGGTAAAGCTCAGGGATGATGGTGCACCGGTCACTGATATTTGAGAAAACAACATTTTAGGTTATACAATGTAGAGGAAGGAAGTGTCTCCATTATTATCTTCGAATGCTCAACGGAGACCGAGGGGATTTTATAATGATCTATGACCTACTGCTTCTTAAAAGAAGCATCAAATCAATTGAACTGAACTAAAAAGGCTAAGTACTTGGGGAATAGCAAAACCCAGCTTCCTAGTATCCTTCATCATATATGTCAATGGGAAAACAAAGTTTTGTGTTGATTGTCCAACAAGTTTTTAGTTTTTTAATCCAAATTTTAATAAAACCAATATAAACCTTTTTGTCTTTAAAACTCATATATCCAGAGAAAATATATTGTTCATTCTTAACATGAGAAAAACTAAAATAATTTTAAGGAGAAGCTACACAAATAAGGACTATTTTATAGCAGATGCAGTAGAATTTCAAGTAAGTGCTTATTCTACATTAATGATTATATACAAATATAAGTTTAATTGGATAAATATTTAATTTTGTTTAGTAGAGTGCAACATTAAAAATGAATCACAGTTTCTATGATTGTACACATAAAAAACGACTAAAATCCATTTTTTTTTTTAATAGAAACAAAATTTAAAAACCTAGCTGCTATACATAATTTGTAAGCACTAATGACTGTAACATACAATTTGCCAGTTTATATCACTTAACCGATACCAAACATATTGTACATTGCCACAGTTAGACAGCGATCTAGAAAACTGAAGGATAAAATCAATACAAATTGGATCAATTAATTTAAAAAAATAATAAGGAGGAAAATATTACTTCTCCTTACATTACACCATTACTTCAAATGGTGGATTGTTCTCATAAGTCAATGGGTGGTCTAAGGGTCCATTGCGGTCTTAGACCCAGAAGTAAACTGCATTAATACATTACAAATCAAATAAGTAATAATATACTGGGATACAGCTTAAAACTTATTTTAAAATGAAGAAAATCTTTTATAAACTGGCAAACATTAAAAAGCAATTTGATACCTACTTCAAATAGAATAATTAATTTTTAACTTTATTATCAACTAATTTGGGCTGAAGAAAAAAAAATATGGCAGGTGATACAATTTAGTTAGTACAGGTTTTTAATTGTAAAGTGATACTGAAAGTGATACAGCGTAATAACTGAAAACTGTTCTAAGCACATGGATAAAATATCGGTATATACTAATCAATAAAATTAAAAACATTCCATTTTAAGCGATAAGGCAGTAGAGTAGAAAATAACGTATAACAATAATTAATTAAAATAATTAATGTCAATTACGACTAAATACATATATGGATTAATACAACAATACTGCTTACTAGGTACTACTTAATGTTAAAATAAATATTGTTTATCTATAACTGTGAATTGGAATAAACTGGATTTTGACTTTTTCCACTAAGCTAAACTCTGTTCAACTAAGCCAACTAAAGTTGACTTTTCAATCTGGTTGGTTTATAATTACAACATCTATTTACAATTTAAAATAAGAAATAAAAAAATTAAAAAAAGTCTTGAGGGGTTGTAGATCTTGTCCATACTACTAAGTTAAGCTTATAAATTATGTTTATATAATTTATCAATCACATCAAGATGACTTTTGAATCTAGTTGGTATAAAATTAATTAGTTTATTTCACCTTGCCATTTTTAAACAAAACTTATGACTCTTTTGTCTTGTGTCAAAGAGTATTTGTAGTTAAGTCCAAAGTGATAAAAAATTCTAGGAAATTTTGAATATACTAAATTCAAAAATGGGCAATTTTCAAGTATAAAATTTACAATGAAATATTAAGTGACTTTCAAATTGTATATAAAGAAGGACTAGAAATAAGGCAAATATAAATGAAAGAACGGTAAGTTTCTTAATCAAGCTTTCGATGAATACCACCCCTTCATCAATACACTGATGATTTAAACGGTTACACTTCTAATTACAATATTAAAATAAGAAATAAAAATTAACAGAATTGAGTGGCGTTAGGTATCATCCATTCCATGCTAAACTCATAAATTCATTATGGTTTATATTTATGCAATGTGTACACAATTATAATATTTAGTCTGATATCAATCTCATCGATAAGATTTTTCAATCTTTTTTTATCTTTGAATTGTCATTGTTGAACAAAACTCATGTCTTATCTCAATTTTCAAGCCGCTCC